GGGGCCACGGGGCTGTGCTGCCCGCCACTTGGTGCCCCTGCAAGTGGCTGATGGGCGGGAGACAGGGCGCGTCTGCGTGGCAGGGGGGGGTGTCCACGCCCAGGGTTGTCCCTGTGCCCAAGACGACGGGAGGAGAAACGGGGCGGGGCGGGGCAGGGCGGTCCCTGGGGCGCGTGGAGTCCCTTGTGCTTGGAGCTCCCCGGGGCTGCCGCTGCCCCGGCCTCACCGCGACCCTGTGCCCCCCGCTCCATCCAGCTGCTGTCCAAGTATGACCCCCAGAAGGAGGCGGAGCTCCGCAGCTGGATCGAGGGGCTCACGGGCCTCTCCATCGGGCCCGACTTCCAGAAAGGTCTGAAGGACGGAGTCATCTTGTGCACGTGAGTGCTGGCTGCCTGGGGGTCTGCCTGGGGGTCTGCGCTGTCCCCAGGACCGGGCTCGGTGTCTCTGGCTGCTTGTCCCGTGACTGCTTGGCCCAGGCTCCGGGACGGCGAGCATCCTCCCTCCCCGGGGTGGGAGAGCCTCCCCCCCGGGGAAGCCTGCGTTGCAGGAGGACACTGAGGCCCGGGGAGAGGCGGTGGGGCCGCTCGGGAAGGCGTGAGGGCGGCCAAGGGTCGTGGTTGGGTCCCTGAGGGGCCTCTGCGCTGATGGAGCCCCCCCCCCCCCAGACTCATGAACAAGCTGCAGCCAGGCTCCGTCCCCAAGATCAACCGCTCCCTGCAGAACTGGCACCAGGTGAGGGTCGGCGGGTGGGACGAGGCGGGGCCCGGGGACCGCACCGGCCGCAGGCGCCTCACGCTCGTCCCCGCCTCCCCAGCTGGAAAACCTGTCCACCTTCATCAAGGCCATGGTCAGCTACGGCATGAACCCCGTGGACCTGTTCGAGGCCAACGACCTGTTTGAGAGCGGGAACATGACCCAGGTGCAGGTGTCTCTTCTCGCCCTGGCGGGGAAGGTGAGGCCCGGGGCCCCGCCGCGGCCCTCGCGGATTCACAGACACCTGTGGTTCGTTCCCCTGGCGACCCCGCGGAGCACCCAAGGCGCCAGGCGCTCGGGACTCGGGGCGAACGGGGCGACACAGCCCACCCTCTTACGGGTTTGCCGTTGGAGGGGAGGAAGCAGGCGATGAAGAAATCTGTTAGTTAAAAAAAAAGCTTAATAGTTTAGAGCAGTTTCAGGTTCACAGCAGACTCGAGAGGAAGGTGCCGAGGTCCCCCCGGGGCCTCCGGGCCCCACAGGCGCGCAGCACCCGCCCTCCCTGCCAGAGCGCTCCCGGCGCCGGAATCGGGGAGCCTCGGGGGTGCGGCGCCACCAGCCGGAGCCCCGACTTCCCGCCAGGCCTCACCTTCGCCCCCCACAGGTGATAGGTCAGTTAGAGATTGTGAGAAGCAGCCTGAGGAAGGTGAATCGGGCCAACGCGTGGGGTCTGGCGCCCCGGGAGGGTTGGAGCAGCTGCTGAACGCGGCCCTCGGGAGCACCGGGGCTGACGCGGGGGCAGGGGCGGCCAGGGAGGGCCACGCGTCGGGAGCAGGCGGGTAGCAGGTCGTGATGGAAGGGGGCAGCGGCTGGCTGCGAGGACGCCTCCCAGAAGCCCCGTCCCGCGCCCCCCCTGGGGCGAGGTGGCCGGTGGCAGGTGGGCCGACCCCCAGGGACGCACGGTCTGGGCGGCTGCCCCTCCCCGGTACTCCCGGTACTCCCAGCACCCCTCCCCTTCAGGCCAAGACGAAGGGGCTGCAGAGCGGCGTGGACATTGGGGTCAAATACTCGGAGAAGCAGGAGCGCAACTTCGACGACGCCACCATGAAGGCGGGCCATTGCGTCATCGGGCTCCAGGTGGGTTCTGGGTGGTGCGGGGATGGGACCCAGGCCCAGGGCAGGGTCTAGAGGCCTGGGGGCGGCAGCCTGACCTCTCCCGCCTGCCTCCCTGCAGATGGGCACCAACAAATGTGCCAGCCAGTCGGGCATGACGGCCTACGGCACCCGAAGGCATCTGTACGACCCCAAGAACCATATCCTGCCCCCCATGGACCACTCAACCATCAGCCTCCAGATGGGCACAAACAAGTGTGCCAGCCAGGTGGGGCCCCCGGCCCTCCCGCCCCCAGCCCCGTGGGCATGCTTGGCCCCGTGCCTGCCTCCCGCGGACGGTCCCGCTCTGGATTTGTCCCTACCTCGCTGTGCGTCCCCGGGGCAGTCACTGCGGGCTCTGTGCCTCACTTTCCCTCGGAGGACTGCCTAGGGGCCCGTCCATCTCTGACATGTTCACATCCTGTGATTCTCACTTGTCCTGCCACATTGCAGATCTTGGAACTCCCGGGTGCCTGGGGGCCCTCGCCCCCCCCCCCGGGGGAGCTCCCCGGCGGGCAGGGGGAGCTGGACCCAGACGCCGCTGGTTCCCAGGGAGATGCGCTCCGCACGGAGGCAGAGAGGCGAGGGTGTCCGAGCAGGGCTGGCCAGGCCCCGCAGAGCTTGTGCCCCGTGCAAGGACAGGAGCGGACGGTGGGGACTCGGCCTCCACTGCCCCGTCCCTTCGCAGCCCTGAAGCGCTCTCCTCCCTCCCCAGGTGGGCATGACGGCTCCCGGGACCCGGCGGCACATCTATGACACCAAGCTGGGGACGGACAAGTGCGACAACTCCTCCATGTCCCTGCAGATGGGCTACACTCAGGGCGCCAACCAGAGTGGCCAGGTCTTCGGCTTGGGCCGGCAGATCTACGACCCCAAGTACTGCCCGCAGGGCCCGGTGGCGGATGGGGCTGCAGGGGCTGCAGGCGGCGGCCCAGACCCCGGGGAGGCCCCGGAGTGCACCCCCTACCCTCAGGAGGAGACCGACTACTGAGGCGCCCTGCGGGGGCCTCCCCACGTCAGTCTGGGCGGTTGCGGGGTTCTTCTGTTTTTCGTCTTGATTTTCTCCTTGTCTGCGCGCTGCCTGCCCAAGGCCCGTGGGGCAGGGGTGAGGGGCACACGGGGGTCTGCCTGCCAAGGTTCCCGCCGCAGATGTCCCAGCAGGCTTTGGGCTGAGCCGTGGGGGTGGGGGGAGAAAGACACCCCGGCAGGCGGGGACCAGCCCTGAATGGTTTCCGGTTGCTTCTCCTTCTCTTCCCTTTTCTCTGATCAGTTTGTGGTTTCTGTACCCGCAGAAGTTTCAGGCAGTTTTAATGAAAGAAAAATGTTTTTTTGCAGGGCAGTTGTGGGGGTGGGGGTGGAAGGAAGTGGAGGGCTGGCCCCGGCCTGAATCACTTGAGGGCTTGTAAGGGACTGGATTTCTCTAGCACTCCCCCCAGGGGCTGGTGGGGAAACTGAGGCCCGGCAGGACGACAGAGTTCTGAGTGGTTGAGGCAAAGCCACCAGAGCTCCCCCTCCGCCCCACCCCTGCCCCCCCGACTTGTCCTCATTCCTCTGCCAAGTACTGCACAGGGACCCCCAGCGGAGGTCCTCCCCGGGGACTGGCCCCATCCAGCAGCCCAGGGACCAAGAGATAATGTGAAATGTGACTGTGGACCAAAGGCAATAAAAACCTCTTTTTAGGAAGAAACGGCTGGTGGAGTTGGAGTGTGTGTGTGTGTGTGTGGGGGGCGGTTAGCTTGGATGGGGGGGAGGGAGGGTTCTGGGGCCCTGGGGTGGGGAGACCAGCCTCCAGCGGATCCTCCCCACGGCCTCGGAGGAGCTGAGGCCCAGGGCGGGCAGGTGAGTGCGGGCCTGACATTCCAGGTGAAGAAGGGATCGGAGCGTCAGGACCTGGGTCCTGGGTCGGGGGGGAAAGAGCTGGACCTCCCGGCTGCTTGGAAAGGAGGTGGGGAGCCCGACTCGCAGCTCCCCGTGCCCGCCTCTGCTTGTGCCACTCCCTGCGCGGGAGGGAGACGCCCGGCGGACTCCTATTCATCCTCGGAGCCCCAACAGCAAGGCCCCGCTCGGGGATCTGCGGGTCCATGCGCTCGGGCCCTCCCCACCCCGAGCTTCCGGAACGGGGTCTGGAGGTGACCCCAAACTGCCGTGACCGTTCGGACCCAGGAGCTCCCCTGAGAATGCTGGGCCCCTCCCCCTCCGTCGCGTCGCCACTGTAGGGACCGGAGGAGTCCCTGTGGGTGGGGCAAGGGCTGGCCGGTGGAACCGCACTGTGCGGACCGACACACGGGAGTCACCGGGCGGTCGCAGGGTCATGGGGCGAGTCTGGCCAGGAGCGGGGCTCCCCCCGCGGGCAGTGGGAGAAAGGAGCGGCGGCGCGTCCGAGGGCGGCCACCAGCGCCCCACGGTGACGCAGCAAGAGAGAGCGGTCCCTTTAAGAAACCCGGCTCCGCACGGGCCCGCCCCCCCGCGCGCGCGGCTCCCGCAGGCCCGGCCTGTGAGTGGCGGGGGCGGCGGCCAATAGCAGCGCGAGGGGCGGGGCTTCGGGCCGGGGGACCGGCCTCGGGGGCCGTAGAGCCAGCGCGGGACTCGCCTCTTAAAGGGGCCGAAATCCGGGGCGGCCGTCCCGGCGGAGGGAAGGCGGCTAGAGGGGGGCTGGAAAGGTGAAGTCTCCCGGGGGGCGGGGCGGGGGAGGAGACTCGAGGATTCCCGGGGCGCGGGAGGGCAGCGGGTCCCCTGGGAATGGGCGGGTGAGGGCAGAGCGCAGACCCGCGCTCACCTTCACGGCGGCAGGTGGACCCCGGATCCTGGGGGGGGGGGAGGCGGCTCACCTGAGAGGGGCCCGCCGCCGTGCACCTGCAGCCCCCCGGCCCCAGCTCCCTCCGGATGGAGCAGAGCCCTGCAGTGGAGGTCGGGGGCTCAGTTCCCCCCCGCCTCAGTTTCCCTAGGGTGCAACGATGAAGTAGGGCCGCGCTGGGCAGCTGCAGCCGAGGTCGGCGTCAGGAATCGCTCGTTCCAGGAGCGCGCATCGCCGGGTCGTGTCCTTACGCCCCTTCGGGCTCCCGGGTGGAGTCTGGGGGCGGAAGAGTTGAGACGAGCCCCCCGCCCGCCCCCCGAGCTACCCGCTAGCCCCGCGGATCCCCGCCCCGCCGGGAGCGGCAGCCCAGGCAACCAATCAGGTGCGAGCACGGCGCCGGGCGGGGCTCCCATTGGCCCACTCCGCCCGGGACCCGAGAGACCCTTTACTCAGCAGCTGCGGTCGGGGGCGCCCAGAGCCCTGCACGGGGCACGGAGCAGCGAGGGCCAGGGCGGCCAGGGTGCGCCCGCGGGCGCAGGCACGTCCTCGGCCCGACCCCGTCGGGGCCCCGTCCGTCCCCACCATGGCCTTCTGGACGCACCTAATGCTGCTGCTTTGGAAGAATTTCCTGTATCGCAGGAGACAGCCGGTAATGCCAGGACTGGGGGGCGGGGGGCGGGGCGGAGTGCCCGGCGCCCCCTCGGCCCCCGCGGCCCCCACGGCCCCCCTCTTCTGCCCCTGCCCCAGGTCCAGCTCCTGGTGGAGTTGCTGTGGCCCCTCTTTCTCTTCTTCATCCTGGTGGCCGTCCGCCACTCCCACCCGCCTCTGGAGCACCACGAATGTAAGCCCCCCAGGGACGGGGTGGGCGGGGTGGGGGGGCAGTGTCCACCCGTCCGCAGGGGCCCAGTGAGCGCGGAGGGCACAGGCGGGGCACCCGGTGAGTCTGGGCGAGCGCGCTGTCCGGGAGGGGGTGAGCCGGGCGGCATTCAGGCTCCCACGCCCCGCGTCCCCACAGGCCACTTCGCCAACAAGCCGCTGCCCTCGGCCGGCACCATCCCTTGGCTCCAGGGTCTCGTCTGCACCCTGAACAACACCTGCTTCCCGCAGCCCACGCCCGCCGAGCAGCCCGGGGTCCTCAGCAACTTCAAGGACTCCCTGTGAGCCAGGGGCAGCGGGTGCGGGGGCCCCCGGGGCTCCGGGGTGTGTGCCGAGCCCCCACCTCCTGCTCCCTCTGTCCCCAGGGTCTCCCGGCTCCTGGCAGATGCCCACACCGTCCTGGGGGGGCCCAGTGCCCGCAGAACGCTGGCCAGCCTGGGAAAGCTGATGCCAACGCTGAGCGCCGCCGGCAGAGCAGGTGAGGGGCCCTTTGGCTGGTGCGGGCGGGCTCAGCCTCCATCTGCCCAGCTGTGTAATGGGCACGGGGTGGGGGCTGCCTCAGGCCTAAGCTTGTCCTTCTCCCAGCCCGGCCTCAACCCAGCGACCCAGCGCAAGACCGACCACACCCTGAGCTGCTGGGGACACTGCTTGGGAAGGTGAGATGGGGTGGGGGGAGAGCGGGCTGCGGGCAGGGGCCTCTGAGTCCCGCTCCCAGGCCTTTGCCTGGGCTCCCCTTGGTGCCCGAGGGACACTCCTCGTCCTGTCGGGCCCAGACGGGCCGTGTCCAGCACGGTGGCAAAGGGTCCAGCCCGAGAGGCCTTGCACGAGCCTCCACACGTCCTCTACTAGCACAGTCCGCACGGGAGGGGGGCGAAGTGCTTGAGCCCCCGTGAAGCTCCATCCGGGTGGGCACCACCCCATGGTCTCGCTCCCCAGGAATCCCTGGGGTCTGTGCTGGGCCACGCCCAGGAGTCCGTGGCCAACTTCGTGGAGGCCGCAGAGGACCTGGCCCAGGAGGTAAGAGGCCCACTCACCCTCCACCGCAGCCGGGAAGCCCAAAGGGTAGGGCAGCCCGGGCACTTCCCTCGGGGGGCGGTCTGAGGGGCAGAAGGGCAGAGGGAGAAGGTATTCCTGGCAGGGAGGGCTTCCAGCGTCCTCTGGTGACCCCTCCCCAGCTCCTGGCACTGCCCAGCCTGGTGGAGCTGCAGGCGCTGCTGCGAAGACCCCAAGGAGCTGGAGGTCCCCTGGAGGCTGTATCGGAGGCCCTCTGCGGTGCCCGGGGGCCCGGCATCCCAGGGGGGCCCTCCCTCGGCTGGCACGAGGCCGGCCACCTGAAGGAGCTGGTGGGGCAGGAGGCGCTACCCGACAGCGGCCTGAGTGAGTCACGGCCTCTCTTCCCCTTCGGGAACTGGGGCGTCAGGTGTGGGGGCGGGGCCCATGGTGCCCCTGCCCCCCAGGCCCGGCCTGTGCTGAGCTCGTGGGGACCCTGGAGACCCACCCACTGTCCCGCCTGCTCTGGAGGCGCCTGAAGCCGCTGGTCCTGGGGAAGCTGCTGTTCACGCCCGACACGGCGTTCACCAGGCAGCTCATGGCCCAGGTGAGGACGGTCACCGTCCTGCGTCCCCCCTCGGCCGGGATGCGGTGGGCCGCAGGGTTTTGAAGGAAAGTTTGCGGATCGCAGGTGGAGGAACAGCACGTCCAGTGCTCAGAGGCACAGATGGAGCAAGACGGGATGGTGGGCGAGGCGGGCGGGGTCCTCAGGAGGAGGGCAGGGTCGCGACGGGGCGTTCATGTGGGCGCCCTCCTCCCACAGGTGAACCGGACCTTCCAGGAGCTGGCTCTGCTGAAGGACATCCCGGAGGTGTGGGCTGCCCTGGGACCCCAGCTCTTCCGCTTCCTGAACGACAGTTCGAACGTGGCCATGCTGCAGGTAGGGTCAGGACGGGGGTGGCGGCGGCACCCAGCCTCCCTGGGCGCGTCATCCCTGCGCAGCACACGGGCAGCGGGCAGGGCTGGGCCTCCTGGGCAGGCATGAGGAGGCGGCTTGTGGCGTCCGGGGGGCGGACAGGCCCCGGGAGAGAAGAGGGCGGACGCGGCCCGGCGCGCACAAAGCAAACCCCCGTGTCCTCGCCGCTCCCCAGAAGCTCCTGCAAGCTCAGGACAGAGGAAGGAGGCAGCCAGGGTCCCGAGGACAGGACCCGGCCAAGGCTCTTCTCACCTTTCTGGACCCCCGTGGGGACGGCTACGGCTGGCGGGACGCCCATGCTGACGTGGGGCACCTGGTGGGCCTGCTGGGCCGCGTGATGGAGGTGAGGTGCCACCTGCCTGGGAGCCCCGTCTGCGGGGTACGCGGGGTGCAACCCGGTCAGCTGGGCGGAGGGGAGCCCCAGTGTAGGGCCGCCCGAGGACGGACATGGCCCAGGGCCTGCGGAAGTGTGATGGAGGAGCTGGGTCCCTCTGGGGCCCCGGGGCCCTGCGGAGGACCGGGTGCCTGGGACCCACGCCCAGGCCCTTCCTCAGTGTGTGACCCTGGACAAGCTGGAGGCCGCACCGTCGGAGGCAGCCCTGGTGGCGCGCAGCCTGCAGCTGCTCTCGGAGCAGCGCTTCTGGGCCGGGGTCGTCTTCCTGGGGCCCGAGGACCCTGGGGACCCTGCTGGGCCCGGTGGCCCCGGCCACGTGCGCATGAAGATCCGCATGGACATTGACGCCGTCACGAGGACCAACAAGATCAGGGACAGGTGGGGCATCCCGCGTGTGGGGGCTGTGATGCGGGAGCCGCGGTGTGAGGGGCGCGCCCCAGGCTGGGGGGCCCACGGCGAAGGACCTGGTGGGTGATAGAGGCCGGGCGAGGGCAGAGCCGCCCACGGTGCGCAGGGCCCTCGGCCTCCCGGCGTCTCCCGCAGCCCCGCCCTGCCCCACGCAGGTTCTGGGACCCCGGCCCGGCCGCTGACCCCCTCGCTGACCTGCGCTACGTGTGGGGAGGCTTCGTGTACCTGCAGGACCTGCTGGAGGGCGCGGCTGTGCGCGTGCTGAGCGGCTCCGAGCCCCGGGCCCGCCTGTACCTGCAGCAGATGCCCTACCCTGCTACGTGGATGATGCGTGAGCGCCGCCTCGCCACCCACCCCCCAGGGACAGAAGTCAGGTGGCCGCGGGCTCGGCCGCTTCCGCGGGTCCACGTGGTCAAGGCTGCGCCGGCGCCCCACCAGGACCAGTCCCTGTGGGAGGAGCGGGGATCCCGGGGGGCGGGGGCCGGGCGCGGGGGGGCCGTGGCCTGTGCTGACACCTGCGGCCCGAGGCCGGAGCGCGGCGCGGCGCACGTCCAGGGGCCCGGGTGTCCCGCCGCCGCTCAGCGGCCTCCCCGCCGCAGGTTCCTGCGCGTGCTGGGCCGCTCGCTGCCGCTGTTCCTGACGCTGGCCTGGATCTACTCGGTGGCGCTGGCGGTGAAGGCCGTGGTGCGCGAGAAGGAGACCCGGCTGCGGGCCACCATGCGGGCCATGGGGCTGGGCGCGGCCGCGCTGTGGCTTGGCTGGCTCCTCAGCGGCCTCGGGCCCTTCCTCCTCAGCTCGGCGCTGCTCGTGCTGGTGCTCAAGGTGCCGTGCGGCCTTCCTGACGCGGGTGGGGCCCCAGGGCGAGCCCGGGCCTCACCGCAGCTGTGGGGGCCCTGCAGCTCGGGGACATCCTCCCCTACAGCCACCCGGCCGTGGTCTTCCTGTTCCTGGCGGCCTTCGCGGTGGCCACCGTGGTGCAGAGCTTCCTCCTGAGCGCCCTCTTCTCCCGCGCCAACCTGGCCGCCGCCTGCGGGGGCCTCGCCTACTTCGTGCTGTACCTGCCCTACGTGCTGTGCGTGGCCTGGCGGGACCAGCTGCCTGCGGGCGGCCTGGCGGCTGCGGTGAGCCCCAGGGGGGCGGGCGCGGGGACCCTGGGTGCGTGCGGGGACCCTGAGTGCATGCGGGGACCCTGGGCCGCGCGCTCGCTGACCCACCTGCCCCCCCACCCCCCCGCAGAGCCTTCTGTCGCCCGTGGCCTTTGGGTTCGGCTGCGAGAGCCTGGCGCTGCTGGAGGAGCAGGGGGAAGGCGCCCAGTGGCACAACATGGGCACCGCGCCCGCCCCCGAGGTCTTCAGCCTGGCGTGGGTCTCGGGCGTCCTGCTGCTGGACGCTGCGCTCTACGGCCTGGCCACGTGGTACCTGGAGGGGGTCTGCCCAGGTGGGCCCTGAGGGGAGGGGAGGGACCTCAGCACAGCTGCAGAGGCAGGGCTGGGCGGGGTGGGGGGGCGGCCGGCCTCGAGGCACAGGTGGCCGCTGGGGATGGGGACGGAGGGTCGGGGGCGGCCTGAGGCAGGCGGACGGCGGTCGGGGTCGCGGGCCTGTCCTCCGCCTGGATGCCCGGTCCTGGCATATGGCCAGCCGCTGGCACGCTCCAGGCCAGGGGCCCGAGAGGTGACCGGGCGCCGCTGCCCCCAGGCCAGTACGGGATCCCCAAACCGTGGACCTTCCCCCTTCAGAGGAGCTATTGGCTCGGACCTCGCTCTCCCGTCGCTTCCCCCCCACCTCCCACCCCGAGGGACCCAGAGGGTGAGGTACAAGGCGGCCTAACCACCGCCGCGTCCGCGTCCCCCGCGTCCCCCGTGGCCCCCCAACCTGCCAGGTCCCCGACTCCACAGACAGGCTTCAGTGTCCCCCCATCCCCCGCAGCGCTCACAGAGGAGGTGCCGCCAGGCCTGACCCCCGGGGTCTCCGTTCGAGGCCTGGAGAAGCGCTTTCCGGGCAACCCGCAGCCGGCCCTGCGCGGGCTCACCCTGGACTTCTACGAGGGCCACATCACCGCCCTGCTGGGTCACAACGGCGCCGGCAAGACCACCACGCTGTGAGCGGCTGCCCCCTGCTCCCTCCCGGCCTCAGGGGCGGGACCCCAGGTCCCCCCGGGCACCTGGGAGACAGATACGTGTGTTCTCCGTGCCTCAGTTTCCCTCCTCTGTAAAACGGGGACACGGTTCACCTTTGGCCTGAGCTCGTGAGAGGGGCCTTGTCGGTGCTTCCGCGCCCGCTCTGGGGATGCGTCTCCTCCTGGGGGCAGCTGCCCTGAGACCCCTTCGTCCCCAGGTCCATACTGAGTGGTCTCTTCCCGCCCACGGGGGGCTCCGCCTACATCCTGGGCCACGACATCCAGTCCAGCCTGGCAGCCGTCCGGCCCCACCTGGGCGTCTGCCCGCAGTACAACGTGCTGTTCGACCTGTGCGTGGGGCTGGGCCTGGGCTGTGCGGGGCGGGGGGGGGTCGCGGGCTCCGCCGGCCCAGTGACCGCCGCGTCCGGCCCTGGCTGCAGGCTGACGGTGGACGAGCACATCTGGTTCTACGGGCGGCTGAAGGGCCTGAGTGCCGCTGCCGTCCGCCGCGAGCAGGCCCGGCTCCTGCAGGACGTGGGGCTCGTCCCCAAGCGCCGTGCACAGACGCGCCACCTGTCTGGTGAGCCGCCCCGGGGAGGGCTGAAGCTGGGCGGGGGTGGGGGGGGTGCGGGCCGGGAGGGCGGGGAAGGGCCCCGGCCGGGGGGCTGGCTCATGCAGGGCGCCCGCCCTGTCCCCACCCAGGTGGGATGCAGAGGAAGCTGTCAGTGGCCATGGCCTTCGTGGGTGGCTCCCGGGTGGTCATCCTGGATGAGCCCACCGCCGGCGTGGATCCTGCCTCCCGCCGCAGCATTTGGGAGCTGCTGCTTAAATACCGGGAAGGTGAGAGTTGGGGGAGGCACGAGGCTCCCCGAGATGCTGCCTCAGGTGCCAGGGAAAGTTTCTGATGATGACGCTCTGAGAAGAGGGTTTTGAGGGATGGAAAGGAGCTCGATGTACGGGGTGGCAACTCCCGCTAGTGGCCACGGCTGGGGCAGAGCCCTCGTCCCGACGGGATGTGTGGCTTGGTCCCCACGCCCAGGTCGCACGCTGATCCTCTCCACCCACCACCTGGACGAGGCAGAGGTCCTGGGGGACCGTGTGGCCGTGGTGGCGGGAGGCCGCGTATGCTGCTGCGGTTCCCCGCTCTTCCTGCGCCGTCACCTGGGCTCCGGCTACTACCTCACGCTGGTGAAGTCGCGCCCGTCCCCGGCCGCCGGCGGAGAGGTGAGGGCTGAGCCGACCCCCGAGCCCGAGCGCCAGGCCTGCAGCCGGGTGGCCGTGACAGCCGTGCCCTCCGCCCGCAGGGGAACGCTGACTCGGAGGCCGCCACGGGGCCCGGGCGGGAGGCAGAGCAGGCCGGCCAGCGCAGCGCAGCTGGTGAGTGGGGGCAGCGCCCCGTGACGCCCCACGGGACCCTGGGCCTCGGACCGCACAGAACCCGAATCCCGGCCCTTTCATCCGGCCTGGCTGAGCGCACCTGCTGACCCACCGCTGCCCGGGGCCCGCCCTGGGCGCCTCACCCCAGCCTCCTGCGCCGGAGCGTGCTCCTCGGGGCCACGCACCCCTGCCCCCAGGACACCGCGCGGCCTGCCCCGCCGGCGCCCTGACGCCCCGCCCCCGTCCACCCAGGTGCCGCCCAGCTGCTCTCCTTTGTGCAGCAGCTGGTGCCCGGGGCGCGGCTGGTGGAGGAGCTGCCCCACGAGCTGCTGCTGGTGCTGCCCTACGGGGGCGCCGTGGACGGCAGCTTTGCCAGGCTCTTCCGGGAGATGGACCGGCGGCTGGGGGAGCTGGGGCTGGCCAGCTACGGGATCTCCGACACCAGCCTCGAGGAGGTGCGGCGGGGGAGGGCTGCCTGGGGGAGGGGGCCTGGCGGGGGCAGCCGCAGAGCCCCCGAGGCTGTGGAGTCTCCAGCGAGGCCTGAGGACCCCTGGTGTCTGCGGGGTGCCTCTCTCCCAGGGGATCCCCAGCTGAGCCCCTGCCCTGTGTCCCTAGATCTTCCTGAAGGTGATGGAGGACCATGCTGTGGACACAGACCTGGAGGGTATGGCCCCAGGTCCCCGGCGCCTTGACCTCTGCCCCCGATTCCCGAACTCATCTGCTGTGACCCTTGACCTCGACCCAGACCCGAGGCCTCACGGAGCCCTTGACCCTGACCCCGACCCCCGCCGGGCCCGCAGGTCATGGCCGCAGGCAGCAGCCCCCGAGCACCGGCCCAGACAGGACCACACGGCTCAAGACTGTGCCGGAGCCGCGGGCCCAGGAGGACAGGGAGCTCGGTGAGCCGTGCACCCTGACCCGTGCGCCCCCGGGTCCCCCAGAATGTGGGCGCTGACCCTCCGTCCCCTGCAGCTCTGTCTGCCCCAGAAACACAGGCCCTGCAGGGCTCTGGGCCGCTCGCCACGGGCCGCCTCCGGGGCTGGCCGCTGACCTGCCAGCAGCTCTGCGCCCTGCTTCTCAAGCGCTTCCTGCTTGCGTGCCGCAGCCGCCGGGGCCTGTTTGCCCAGGTGAGGGGCCCGGTTGGGGTGAGGGTGAGGGTGAGGGTGAGGGTGAGGGGCCCCGGTGCCGGGGACTGCGTGGGGACCCGGGCGCCTGGCCTGTGCTCTGGCCACCAGCCCAGGGACCTCAGAAGTGTCTGCGCCCTCCGCACCTTCACGGAGCGCCCCGGGGAGCCCCGGGCGGTTCTAGAGCGGGAGCGGGGAGGGGACCGGCAGCCTGGAGGGCGGCGGGGGCGGCTGATGGGCCTATCCCTCAGATCGTGCTGCCTGCCCTCTTCGTGGGCCTGGCACTGCTGTTCAGCCTCATCGTGCCACCCTTCGGACACTACCCGGCTCTGCAGCTCAGGCCCAGCATGTACGGCGCCCAGGTGTCCTTCTTCAGGTGGGTTCGGGGTCGGGAAGGGGCGGCAGGCGGGCGGGCCGGGGGCAGGCCTGACTCTGAGCCGCACCCACAGTGAGGACGCCCCGGGGACCTCGGACCAAGCCCACCTGCTGGCGATGCTGCTGGAGGAGGCGGGACTGGGGGAGGGGGCGCACCGGCAGGACGGCTCCGCCAGGTGAGGGCCCGCGGCCAACCCTCGTGCCCCCGGGCCCCAGGTTCTCGTCTGGGCCCTGGGCAGCGGGCCTCGCGGGGCTGGAGCTTCCCCACGCCGGCGTAGGAGCTGGGGTGTCCGGCCGCGTGCCAGGGCCTGCGGAAAGCTCGGTGGCCCCCCCCCCCCGCAGGACGCCTGGGTGCACACAGCCCGCCGCCTGCCGGTTCTGGGCACCGGAGGTGCCCACGGCCGTGGCTGAGGTCTTGGCCAGCGGCAACTGGACGCCCGGGTCGCCGTCCCCCGCCTGCCGCTGCAGCCAGCCCGGAGCGCGGCGCCTGCTGCCCGACTGCCCCGCGGCGGCTGGCGGCCCCCCTCCGCCCCAGGCGCTGGCCGGCTCCGGAGAGGTGGTGCAGAACCTGACGGGCCGCAACCTGTCCGACTTCCTGGTGAAGACCTACCCGCGCCTGGTGCAGCGGGGGTGAGCGCCCTCGGGTCCTGGAGCCGGGAGGAGGCGGGACGGGGGCGGGGTCTGGGTGCCCCCGACTGCTCTCCTGCCCCACCTCGTCTTGCCTGTCCCACCCAACTCCCGGCGTCTCGGCCCTGCTCATGTCTCTGTCTCTCCCGCAGCCTGAAGACCAAGAAGTGGGTGAATGAGGTCAGGTGAGGAGGGTTCCACCCCTGCACCCCCTCCTGCCCTCTCTGGGCTCCCCCCATGCTCCCTGGCCCTCACTGGCTGTCCCCTGACCGCCCCCTGCCCTGCAGGTATGGGGGCTTCTCCTTGGGGGGCCGAGACCCAGGCCTGCCCTCAGGGCAGGAGGTCAGCCGCTCGGTGGAAGAGCTGCGGGCGCTGCTGAGCCCCCCACCCGGCGGGGCCCTAGACCGCATCCTGAACAACCTCACGGCCTGGGCTCGCAGCCTAGATGCCAAGGACAGCCTCAAGGTGGGAGCCGGGGGAGCGGGCAGGGGCCTGGGGGGCGGTCCACCCCAGCACCCTGACCGCTCGGCCCTGACCCCACCCTAGATCTGGTTCAACAACAAGGGCTGGCACGCCATGGTGGCCTTTGTCAACAGAGCCAACAACGCGCTCCTACACGCCCGCCTGCCCCCGGGCCCTCCCCGCCATGCCCACAGCATCACCACGGTCAACCACCCACTGAATCTCACCAAGGAGCAGCTGTCGGAGGCGGCGCTGTGAGTCACTCTGTCCCGCATGTGGGCCCGGCCCTGCCGCAGCCTCTGGGTCATTTGGGGTGCGGGGGCACTCTAGCTGTGTCCATGCACGGGAACCACCCCCTCTGCTCCCCAGGCCTGGGCTCAGTGGGTTACAGGCTCGCCCTGCAGCCCAGGCGCCCCAGGCCTAAATAGCTCCACCTGTCTCCCCGGCCAGCGGCAGGCGGCCGGGCTGTGGACCCTCGCCCCGTCGGTGGTGGGCGGGGTTCTCTGGACAGCTCCGCCCCTCACCCACAGGATGGCCTCCTCGGTGGACGTGCTGGTGTCCATCTGTGTGGTCTTCGCCATGTCTTTTGTCCCAGCCAGCTTCACCCTCGTGCTCATCGAGGAGCGTGTCACCAGGGCGAAACACCTGCAGTTTATGGGGGGCCTGCCTCCCACTCTCTACTGGCTCAGCAACTTTCTGTGGGACATGGTGCGGGGCATGCTTGGCGGGCGGAGGTCCAGCCGCCTCTCACCACCTCCCTTTTCTGGCCCCTTCCGATCAGACGTTTGTCCAGCATGGCCCGAGTGGAGTCCTGGGGGACGGTGGGAGACTTTGTGTCCTGCTCCCTCCCACACGGGGCAAGGGGGTGGGTTGGGACGGGGCACAGGGGTGAGGATGGCAGTTCCCACCCGTGCAAACCGACGGCGGTAATTACCATCTCCAATGCAGTGTAACTACTTGGTGTCAGCGTGCATCGTGGTGCTCATCTTCCTGGCCTTCCAGCAGAAGGCGTACGTGGCCCCCGCCAACCTGCCCGCCCTCCTGCTGCTGCTGCTGCTCTACGGGTGAGGCCTCCCCGGCTGCTCAGGGCCCGTTCTTCCTGACCCCCCCCTACCCCAGCCCCCAATACCGGGACTCCTCCAGCTCGGAGCTCTGATGGGATCCCAAGTGTGTCCTAACCTAGGGATGCGCAGCGGTGGCCTTAAAAGCTCATCTCTCCCTGGGGCGGGGGTGGGGGCGCCCGGCAGGCGGCAGGAGCTGCGCATGCTCCGGACCTCTGGGTTGGAGGCTCATGCCCCACACTGGGGGGTAGAGTTTACATAAAAGAACATTAAAAACCTCGTCCTGTCTTGACTTACGAGAAGAGGGCTGTGGCAAGGACGAGGGGAGGGGGTGTCTGGGCTACTCACCGGGTGTCCGGTGGTCACCCCACGACCCACTGCCCCCCAGCTGGTCCATCACGCCGCTCATGTACCCGGCCTCCTTCGTCTTCTCCGTGCCCAGCACGGCCTACGTGGTGCTCACCTGCGTCAACCTGTTTGTTGGCATCAATGGCAGCATGGCCACCTTCGTGCTCGAGCTGTTCTCTGACAAGGTGCTGTCCCCTGCAGGCCGGGGCTCGGGCTGCGCTGGCCTCGGCTCCGGCCCCTGACCCACCTCCCCTCCCTGTGTCTGGCCCTGAGCAGAAGCTGCAGGACGTGAGTCGGGTCCTGAAGCAGGTCTTCCTTGTCTTCCCCCACTTCTGCTTGGGTCGGGGGCTCATCGACATGGTGCGGAACCAGGCCATGGCTGACGCCTTTGAGCGCTTAGGTGAGAACTTCCCTCTAGGTGGGGTAGTGCCAGCCACGTCGTTTACGCAGGGTGGGGACAAACAGCAGCCCCCAGGAAGAGAACTAGGGGTCTTAGGTGGCCCCCATGTTTGGGTCAACTGAGAAGCCAGCACAGCAGCCAGAGAGGCTAATTCTTTTCTTAAACATTTTATTTATTCATGAGAGACCAGAGACAGAGAGAGAGGCAGAGACAAAGGCAAAGAGGAAGAAGCAGGCTCTACGCAGGGAGCCTGACATGGGACTTGATCCTGGGTCTTCAAGATCACGCCCTGGGATGAAGGCGGCGCTAAACTGCTGGGCCAGTGGGGCTGCCCTAGAGAGGCTAATTCTGTATGGGGTCCTATCACAAGAGGTCTAAGGCTCTAAAGGGAGATGGTGATACTACTGTTTTCTATACCAATTAGAGCTTGGTTGAGTGGCCCACCCAGTTCTTGATCCTTTTATTTAAGAGCCCAAGGTGACCTGGATTGGGGGGTGATGGACAGAAATCAAGCACACCCCTACTTCTCATGACCCAGGTCCTCCTTCCTGTCTCCGCAGGAGATGGGCAGTTCCAGTCACCCCTGCGCTGGGAGGTGGTCGGCAAGAACCTCGTGTGCATGGCGGTGCAGGGGCCGCTCTTCCTCCTCTTCACGCTCCTGTTGCAGCACTGCAACCGCCTCCTGCCACAGTCAGTGGGGACGGGGTAGGGGTGCGAGGGGCTGGGGCTGGCCTTGGGCTCACTCATACGTGTGTCCTCAGACCCCGGCTGAGGTCGCTGCCCCCCCTGGGGGAGGAGGATGAGGACGTGGCCCGAGAGCGGGAACGGGTGGTGCACGGGGCCACCCAGGAGGACGTGCTGGTGCTAAGAGACCTGACCAAGGTGGGTGCGGGGCGGTGGGTGCAGAGCCTTGGGCAGCCCCCTGTCCCCCCGTCCTCAGGGACCTGAACTCCTCCCAGGTGTACCACGGGCAGAGGACACCGGCTGTCGACCGCCTGTGCCTGGGGATCCCTCCTGGTGAGGTGAGTCCAGGGCGGGGCCCCGGTGCGGGGGCATGGGAGGCACCCTCCTGCGTGCCCACTGCCCTTCCCTCAGCACCTGCTGCGCGCGCCTGCCGCCCCTCATTGAACAGCTCCCTGGCCCCCGCTTACCATCTATCGAGTGACTCCTGACTGGTGACATTTGAGCTCCCATTTTGTCCCAGGAAGCACCTACTGCGTGCTTGCGCTCGGGGGTCGTTGAGCCCCCGCCGTGTGCGTCCCCTACTGAGATCAAGCGCGTTGTTACCGAGCACCCGTGGGGGCGCCACACATGTGCCAGGAACCTTAACCAAGCGCCTACTGTGCTGTGTGCCACCGTTGGAGAACCAGTTGTATCATTGAGCCCCTTGTATGGACATCTGTATACGTTTGTCGGGCATTGACAGTACCTACTGGTCACCTGTTGTATACATCCCTCCCTTGAGCGCTGGCCCACAGCCAGTACTTCTTGGGCACGTGCCCCGAAGCAGTTCACGTTCACACAACTACTATGTGCAGCCGTGTTGGCTGTGTGCTCTGAACCCGCCACCTCCTGGGGCCGGTGCACACCTGGAAACAGATGTGCAGTGTTAGCGTGAGCTGCTGTCACTTTGTCAAGCGCCGCCCGTGAGCTCCCACCCTCTCCACACTGGGCTGACCACACCCAGCCTGGGTGCTCGGGTGCCTCCGGAGGCACCCGGCGATGGCAGGGCCTGCGACGCACAGAGCACTGCTGTATGTGATCTTGGAGACACCCACCGGGTGCCTGCATGGGTGACGCGTGTGTCGTGTGTGCCGAGGAGCGTCCCCTGCTCAGTGTCGCGCTCCGCCTGCCTGCACCCCCAATATCGAGGGGGGTGCGGGTCAGAGACCGCACTGAGGGCCGTCTGTGGGGCCCCCGCAGTGTTTCGGGCTGCTGGGAGTGAACGGAGCAGGGAAGACGTCCACATTTCGCATGGTGACCGGGGACATGCTGCCCAGCGGTGGTGAGGCCGTGCTGGCAGGTCACAGGTGAGGGCTGGGGCGGGCGCGGGGCTGGCCTCTCCCAGGCGTGCTCGGCTCGGCCCGGCCCGAGCCCTGCCCTCTCTCACCACAGCGGTCGGGGTGGGGGGACCGAGGCCCGCCCTTGCCGCCCAGCGCGGGGGCCTAGCCGACGCCCTGAGCCCCTCCCGGTCCCCGTCCCCAGCGTGGCCAGGGAGCCGGCCGCCGCGCACCGCCACATGGGCTACTGCCCGCAGTCCGACGCTGTCTTCGAGCTGCTGACCGGCCGGGAGCACCTGGAGCTGTTCGCGCGCCTGCGCGGCGTCCCCGAGGCTCAGGTCGCCCAGGTGACCCCCCACCCAGCCCCGCAGCCCGCCCTGAGCCCACCTGCAGCGCACCTGCGCGCCCCCAGCGCCCACACTCTGCGGCTCCCGCGCAGGCTGGAGCCGCCCCCTGCCCCCCCCTCTCCCGGCCTCGGCCCCCCTCCCCTTGGGAGCGCAGCTGTCCCGTCCGCCCGGTCCCGCCCCTCGTTCATCCTGGCCCCGCCCCTTTGCTGACCACCCCCACCTTCGCCCCTACCCCGCTCGCTCCGCCCCCCCCCAGACGGCGAGCTGGGGCCTGGCACACCTGGGGCTCCGCCAGTGCGCGGACCGACCCGCGGGCACCTACAGTGGCGGCAACAAGAGGAAGCTGGCGACGGCGGCGGCGCTGGTGGGGGACCCGGCTGTGGTCTTCCTGGTGCGCGGGGGCGGGGCGGGGCGGGGCCTGGGAGGCCGGGGCGGGGTCAGGACCCCTAACCAACCCCCCCCTGCGCCCCGCGCCCCCAAGGACGAGCCGACCACTGGCATGGACCCCAGCTCCCGGCGCTTTCTCTGGAACAGGCTCCTGGCCGTGGTGCGGGAGGGCCACTCCGTGGTGCTCACGTCGCACAGGTGGGCCCCGAGCCCGGGCTGAGCGGCGGGGCGGGGGCTCCGCGGGGCGGGGGGGACCTGGGCCCGCGGAGGCTGTCAGAGCCCGGGCACGCAGGCCATGGGGTGGCCTGACCTGGGGGTGGGGGGGCTCGCCGGGACCCGGGTCCGGCCTTCCCGACAGAGGTCCGGGTGGGCGGGCGGTGTCCAGGGTGGAGGGTGAGGGTCCGCGCCTGCGGGGCGGGGGGCACGGCTGCGCCCCGAGGGACTGACGCGCGGCCCCGGCAGCATGGAGGAGTGCGAGGCCCTGTGCACGCGCCTGGCCATCCTGGTGGACGGGCGGTTCCGCTGTCTGGGCAGCGCGCAGCACCTGAAGAGCAGGTGAGGGGCGGCGGCGGCGGCCCGGGCGAGCCGGGGGAGGGCAGGGCAGCCCGGCCCGGAGCGAGCGCGGCAGCCCTGTCCCCCCAGGTTCGGAGCGGGCCACACGCTGACCCTGCGGGTGCCCGCAGCGCGGGCCGACTCGGCCGTGGCCTTCGTGGGGGCGGCGTTCCCGGGGGCCGAGCTGCGCGGGGCGCACGGCAGCCGCCTGCGCTTCCAGCTGCCGCCGGGAGGGCGCTGCGCCCTGTCCCGCGTCTTCGGGGAGCTGGCGGCGCGCGGGGCGGAGCTGGGCGTGGACGACTTCTCCGTGAGCGCGACGGCGCTGGAGGAGGTGCGCGGCGCCCGGGGCGGCGGGGTGGGGCTGCGGGCGCCCCCGCGCTGACGGCCCCTCCGCCCGCCGCAGGTGTTCCTCGACTTCTCCGCGGCGCAGGGGCAGCGCGAGGCCCGCACGCAGGACGCGGGGGCGGGCACGGACCCCTGCGCGGCCGAGTCGGCGCTCTGAGCCCCCCCCCCCCCCCCCCCCCCCCCCCGGGGCCGGGCGCTGCGCACCTCCGCTCGAGGACCGTTGCCCTGGAGGAAATAAAGAGATCTCCGCGCGTGCAACTGCGTGTGCGTGTGCGTGTGCGTGTGCCGGCGGCGCGCAGGTCCACAACGGCTCTCCTCGCGGGCCGCCCTGGGGCCTTGGGGGCCGCTGGAGCCCAGCTGGGGGCCTCCGTGGTGGCCGGGAGCCTGCTGGCCGCGGCCCCTCAGCACCCACGTGGGTCTGGAGGTGAGGGCGGTGCCCGCGAGTGCCTGGCCATGAAGTGGGCACGAGCTCGAGGCCTGCGGATGTTCTGGGCGGCCTGGAGGAGCCCCGGGGTGGCCCAGACCTCCGGCCTCCTGACTGGGCCCGGGCCCCAGAGCCCTGCGTGCTGGGCAAAGGGCCCTCGAGGGCCCACTCGGCCGGGTCTGCGGGTGGACCCGGGCCTGGGGAGCCGCACACGACTGTCCTGTGCCCTGCAGATGCGCCCCTCCCGGCAGGCTCAGCGGGGGCGTCCGGGAGGGTGAGGGGTGGGGGCTGGGGAGCGGGGAGGCGAGGCCCCAGGTCTGGCCGCGCATGTTTCCCACAGCGTCCTGTCAGTGGCGGGTCTGCGTGTGCTCCTGGACCGTGGGAACAGGGGCCCTGCTGTGCCCAGGGCCTTGCCGTGCGCCCGGGGAGGGAGGACGGGGCTGGACGGCAGGAGGCTGCGCCCCGGGTCTGAGACAGAGGCCCTGGCTCGTCCCTTCCGCCTGTGAGCTTCGTGGCGGCAACACCTGCCCGAGTCCCCGCGCGACACCGTGCACGCGTGTGCGCACACTCCCAGCTGCATCCGGTGCGCCGGACTGAGGGTCTGCATCCCCGCCGCCTGCCGCAGTGTCACCTGCCGCCGTGTGCCCGCCCCGCGTGCCAGGCCAGCAGTGCCAGGCCCGGGCACCCCCACCAGCACACACGGCCTGAAAGTGGAAGCTGGGGGTGGGCTCTGGGACCCCACTGTGAAGCCCACCGCGTGGAAGGGCAGGCTGCAGCCAGGGCGGGTGGGGGGCAGGCCTGCGTCACCGGCACTGCCTCGGGAGGCCTTTTCCTGTGGGGGGGAGGGCCCGCCAATGAGGGCCGGGCCTGTCACGTGGGGCTGACAGCTGGGGAGGGGGTGGCCGGCGGCAATGTGGCCCTGGAGCAGGCGGTGCTGAGAGCTCAGCAGCGGGACCCCCGCCTGCCCGACCCCAGCCCGCCTCCCCCGGCCCAGGCCCCACCATGTTCTCCAGGAAGAAGCGGGAGCTCATGAAAACCCCTTCCATCTCGAAAAAGAACCGGGCGGGAAGCCCCAGCCCACAGCCCTTGGGGGTGAGTGAGCCTCTCCGGGGAGTGCAGCGCGGGTGGGGGCCTGGGCGTGACAGCGGGCGCCAGGGCCCAGGGGTGCGCCGTGTGCCTGCCGCCAAGGGCCCAGCAGCTCCATGCGGGGCCGCTGGCGGGGGGCTCCCACCAGCTACAGCCCCTGCCGGGCTGGACGGCACGGAGCCCGCAGGTCAGGCCAGGACCCCGGCGTTCGGCTCACAGTAGGTGCCCTCTGCTTCCCCCGAGCACCTGGCCAAGGGGCCGGGGGGCGGGCGGGAGGGTGCCCGGGCTGGGGCGCCGCAGGGCAGGGCTCAGGGGACCTGGGGCCAGGGGTGCCGTCGGGTGTGACAGCTACAGCGCAGCTTCGGGGCCGAAGGTTGACAGGGCAGCAGGGCACGACACGGGACCTGTGGGTGTGGGGCCTGGAGGTCGAGAAGCTTTGGGGGTGCTCGAGGACTTCAGGGTCCCCAGAACTCTCGGGGGCACGGGAGTCGACAGAGGTATCTTCACCTGCACGGAGGTGTGGCTGCAGCAGCCTGGAGGGGGCTGCAGGGCTGAGGACCCCCAGGACCCTCCCCACCCCACCCCACCCCACCAGGAAGTGGGGTGCCCCTCCCCCACGCCCTCACAGGCCCCACCCCTGGCTGTGGTTTGGGCAGAGACCGTTGTTTGTGAAAGCTCTGGGGAAGAGGATGTTGGGTAACAGGTGTGGGCGGGGCAGGGCACCAAATCTCGGCCCCCTGACCTCTGGCCTTTGATCCCCGTGGGGTCCGCGGGAGACCCTGCAGAGCCCCCCCCCGCCGTGGGGAAGCCGAGGCAGCGCGGGGCCGGCTACCTGGCTACCGGCTCGCCCGTCCTCCCCAGGAGCTGCCCAGGAAGGATGGGGCCGACGCGGCGTCCCCTGGGGCCAGCGCAGAGCCGCCGAGCGCCGCCGCCAACGCCAAGGCCACGGGCACGCTCAAGCGACCCACCAGCCTGAGCCGCCATGCGAGCGCCGCGGGCTTCCCGCTGCCCGGGGCCAGCTCCTGGACGCTGGGCCGGGGCCACCGCAGCCCGCTGGCCACTGCCAGCCCCGCCGAGCTCCCCGGCGACGCGCCCGGGCCCGACTCCGGGGAGGACATCTCCCAGCTGCTGGCGGACGTGGGCCGCCTGGCCAAGAGCCTCGAGAAGCTCAGGGACTGTGTCCTGCGTGACGGTGAGAAGCGCAGGGACCGGAGCCTGGGGGGCGGGGCCACACACCGCCCCTCCGACCCCGTGGGGCGGCCAGGGGCGGGGGGGGGGGGGGGGGGGCGCGACACTGCTGCAGCCAGGCCCTTGGGGATGCGTCCCAGCCGGGAGGCCGCAGCGCAGGGACGTCACGGGGGCTCAGAGGCACACTCGGAGATTCCCCTGGGGACAGGTTTCGGGGCGTCCCCGGTGTCCTCGTGAGGCCAGTGGGCAGCCCCGGAGGGCGTCGGGGCAGAGGTGGGCCAGGTCCGCCGGCTGAGGATGATGTCGCAGGAGCCCGGGAGGGCCGCGGCGTGTGCCCGCCGCCGTGACGGCTTTGGGGCGGCGGTTCCGTTTTCTCCTCCGTGTGGCGCTGACAGCACGCTTCCTGCCGGGTTATTTTCATCTGTTTCCTGTTTGTCCCTGGCACCTCGTGCGCGGCCTGCTGCCTGCTCCCCCGAGGCCACACCCCAGCACCCAGCCCGGCACCCCGACCTGCTGCCCCCAGGGCCCCCCCGGGTCGGAGGGGTCCCAGCTGGGCTGGGCGCTCGGCCCCCAGTGGCCTGGCCCCGCGGCAGGGTGGGGGCCCCCCAGGGTTATCTGGCCCGGGCGGGGGCCACAGCCGCTTCCTGGGGAAACGCGCTAATCTCGGTTCCTTTCCGATCCCCGCGCTTCCTTGGAGGCCAGGCCTGGGTGGGCTGCGCCCCGGGGTGTGTGCGGGGGGCTGGGACGTGGCGGGCCCTCCTGCCCCTGGGCCACCTGGAGGGGAGGATGTGGGTTGAGCGCGGGGCTTCCTCTGCTGGGCCCCTCCCCGGGCCTCAGGTGTCTCATCTGCGGCCTGGGCGGTCGCGGGGCCTGGGCAGGTGGGCGTGGAGGGCCGAGGCCCGCCGTCCCTGGAGTCTCCCCGGGGCCTCAGGGCTCTCAGGCCCCGCTGTGCTCTGGAGCACCGGCCGTCAGGCGGGGAGTCGGGGCGCGGGCGAGGCTGGCCCCCAGCTGGCCGTCCCTCCCCGCTGGCCCCTTCCCTCCTCGCGTTCCTGCGGTGTTTCCACCGAGCGGGCCGTGGCTGGCGCTTGCTGCTTCGCGCTCCTCTCCTTAGGGCGGGTGACGGGCACCCCGCTGGCTGAGTCGGAGGCGCCTGCGTCTCTTGATCTCAGGGTTGTGCGTTCCAGCCCTGCACCGGGTGTGGACGTCACTTAAGCATAAAGTCTTAGGGAAAAAAACAGTGTCTGTGCAGAGCATTTAAGGCCCCGTTCCAAGATACAGATGTGACCTCAGCCCTGCTTCGCTCTAGCACCTTCTATGGCTCCCCACTGCCCTGGAGACAAGGCCAAGCCGGGCCCTCCAGACGAGTTCTTGTGCCTTCTGAGCCAGTGTACATGGGAAAGCTTTCCATCTTTTTTTCCATCTTTGAGAAATGATGGGTGTGCCTCAGTTTCCCCATCTACAAAACAGGGGCCTCTGGGGCCGCTGCCAGGGGGGAGTAGATGACCGCAGCAGGCAGGGCAGGCGGAGGGCTGGCCAGAACCTTGAGCGGTCAGGGCCGCGGCGGGAAAGGACCGGGGGCCTGCGTGGAGGAGGGAGGCACCAGGGCGGCCACCTGAAGCGCAGGTGTGTGCTGGCTGGACGACCCGGAAAGTGTCGTGAGCGAAGGGGCTGCGTCCACCACGGCCTGGGCCTCAGCAGGGGCCCACAGCGACCGGCCCGGCCCGGCTCGGCCTCAGTCTCCCCGCCGGGGAGGGGCGGGCGGCTGGCCCTGGCCGGGCGCTCCCTCCCACTCACCGCGCCCTGCCCCGCAGAGCTGCTGGAGGCCCGCCGGGGGCTGGCCCACGAGTGCCTGGGCGAGGTCCTCCGCGTGATGCGCCAAATCATCAACAAGTACCCGCTGCTGAACACCATGGAGACGCTCACGGCCGCCGGCACCCTCATCGCCAGGATCAGAGGTCAGCGGGGGGCCGGGAGGGCTTCCTGGAGGAAGGGACCCTTGGAGGGTGTTTGGAGGGCTCGCGGCAATCTGACAGGCACCCCTGCCGAGGCGCTGCCCCTGGCGGACGGCGCCCCCGGTGAGCGGCGCGGGGTGACCAGCGGCCCCTCGCCCCCGCGCCCGCCCCAGGCTTCCATTACGAGTGCAGCAACAACGAGGCCGACAAGGAGGAGTTCGAGAAGGCCCTGGAGACCATGGCCGTGTCCTTCAGTAACACGTGAGCGCTGCGGGGCCGCGGGGGGCCAGGGGGCCGGGGGCGGGGGCGGGCCCGGGTCTCCCAGCCTGACCCCTCCCCGCCCTGCAGCGTGTCCGAGTACCTCATGGGGGAAGTGGACAGCACGACTCTCCTGTCCGTGCCCCCCGGGGACCCCAGCCAGGTGAGCACGGGGTGGCCCCGCGTCCTGCACCGGGGTGGGTGGGCCTCACGCGGGGCCTCACCTGAGTCTGCCCTGCAGGCCGTGGAGCACCAGTACGGGCCGGCGGTGGAGGGGGCCG